CTTTGTTGTATATTTTATTTTAATCCTTGTTTGATTTTCGTATTTCATAATTTGTTATTCGTCTTGCGATACTATATTCATTAATCGATGATTAACGTATATATGAGTTTTTCGAAAATTTATTGATTATCCTTGCAACAAAACAAGAAATATCTTATATTAATATTTCGTTGGATAATTAAGTCAAAAGTGGAACCCTAATTTCTGTAGTCGTGTCCACTTTTCTTATGTATGTACATCCTCTCTACACAAGGCAAAACATAATTCATCGTCTAGACCTCTACAACAAAGGTATGTTTCAACAGCTTTCAGGTTTTATATTATGTTGATGTATTCGTTTTGATAATATAATTTTAAAATTACAATAAAGTGTTTGTAACATTTTATTTGTGATTGTTCTTTTTCTCTCTTATATTCAGATCCGTTTGTAGGTTAACCATGGTTTCAGGTACAAATTTCGTTTTTGTCTAAGTGTGTTATCGTCTCTCTAATAATTTGTTTTAGGCATGTTAAGGTTTCCATCGTATCTGTCTCTAAGATGCAGATTTCAGTTTGTTGACATTTAAGCTATTCTTCTCTCTCTACATAGCTTTATGATTTATTATATATACCATACTTGAAGGCTTATATCTATATTNAATCGGTTGTTTGATTATTTTTTGGAATTGCGGTGAATCTGAATATTTACNATTCGATNNATATTCGACANTCTTCTTCTCANAAGGTATGTATCCCTTTCTCTATCTTTTATTTTTCGGCAAGTGAATTATTTGTTTAGTACAGTTTATATTGATCATCTTTAGAAAAAAATATCTAAATTGAGAATGGAAACTAAAATAATCATCCTTATGTGAATATATTTAGGTCGTTCGTACTTTCCCATCACCATAGTGCATCTTCCCAAATAACTCAAATGCTCTGGTATGTCTAGCCAGAATCAAATTTTCTTGTATTATATTATTTCCCTTCCATTATCTTTGCTTTTGAATTCAGTGTTCGACCAAAAACATTGTCTTTTGTCCTCAGCTCATTATAGCTACTTCCAAGTTCCAACATATTTCCACCAGCAATTTATCGTCCTCTTAATTGGTGCTTTTGATCATCAATAATTGATTTTCATTTAGTTACTTAACAATGATTAATTAATGAATTCTATATACTTGAGATCAATAGGCGAAATTTGGTTTTAAGCAGAAAAAAGATGAGGAATTTGCTTAACTAGGATTGAGTTTGCACGCCAAATATTAATATCTTTGATACGTGTGGTTTGGTTTCATATAGAGTTTGGTAATTTACCTGCAAATATATATTTTTTCCCATATGTTCCTTTATGTTTGGATTATCGATATATTGTTCTACTCCAAATAGAGGATATTTAGTACTCAAATGATTTGAGGATCAATAGCATTTACCAAATATCAAGATATGCAATCCTTTCTGGTGATCTGGCTGGTCTGTTTCTTTTTGTTATTTGGTCAATGGATTGTTTGTGTTTTTAGTAGGAGTTTTAATGTATTGATAATACTTTGTTTCTGAATTTGTTAAGCTCTAACATGGATTGCAATTTTGATAATTAGAATTTTCCTTCAAAGTTCGTTTGGGATTCGTTGTACTGTGAATAGCAATCTTCTGCCGGTGTGTTAAAATTTGGCGGGTGTATGGGACATAACTCGGATTGTGTTGTGGCGGTGAAGTACGTTGTATCATGGTTGGGGGGTTCAAGCCCTTTTTGCGTAGGTTAATTTTTATTGTTTTTTTCAGTGTTGTATTTTATTTGGGTGTTATTGCTTACAAATAATGTGCGTCTCCGTTTGCTCTTTGGACAACTACTTGTGATTTGGTGTAGGTTTATGTGTTGTGTTAGCCCGGAGCTATCTTCTTAAAAAGGAGAAATTTGTTCAGGAGTTCGGGACTGGCTATTCACTTTTATGTGACGATGAAGATAGTGTTTACTTAGAAAGTGGTGGAGGTTAACTTATTAGTGGTTGTTGGTGAAGATGAAGATCTATATACAAGATGATGTTTTTTTTTGTCTTGCATTTTAGTCCTGTGTTATGAACAATACACATAATCTTGTGATGTTAAACTGATTCTCTTTCTTCGTACAGTTTGTCTTTGTGGAAATTGGGTTGGATCTATTTATGGTCCTTCTTTGGTTAAGCCCCAAGGTATTTGCTATGTTTATCCTCTAATCGTCGTCTTCAATAGACACTCTTTCTTGTTTATTTGGACGTACTCAGCTTATTTTCTTGTTCTTTGCAGTATTATCCAAAGCTTTTGTGATCTGCATTGTTCTCGGTTTCATCACTCTCCTATGTATGATATTCATTGTTCTCGGTTTACAAATCTAAGCAGCAGAAGAAAGAAATGCACTTTGAAAACTTCCCGACCTATTGCCATTAAGTGACTCGACAGCCCTTATCCACACAACTTGCGCGAGTTTGAGACAGAACTCGAGAGCATAGGGGGAATCAGACACAAACAAAGTCTGCTTGCACAGAAAATGGATCTCTTTGGGACCTTCTTCATGGTTAGGTTTTAAAAATA